CTTTCCAAGTCCTTCTTCTACTTTTAGCAACCTAGTGATTAGGACACCAAGGCTTTGCAGCTGCTGCTCTGGAGAGATGGAAGGAAGGAAGGAAAGAAAGAAGAGATTTCCTCCTCCAAACCTGTTGGTCTTCCAGATGTGCATAGTGTCAGGGTCTGTGATCCCTCTTTTCTCTGCTTGCTCCTCTAGGAAGTCAAAGAAATACTTCACAGCCACAGGTGGTTTATCATCTCGGATGCTGAGAATGGCTTTGAACAAGTCGTCCAGGAACTTCTGCAGCGTGCCCTGCGGGACAAGCACCCGATGGAGCCTGGGGAAAGCACCCGAGCCCAGGAAGCAGCAGGAGGGGCTGCGACTGCTGTGCACAAGGGGAAATCCTTTCCTCATTTATCCAACTGGCAGCAGAGAAAGAGGATGCCGAAGGAGGGAGGGAAAGGTTTATTTGTGCATAGCGATATAATTAGCTTGCATTTGGGTTTAATTTCTTTTGGCAACGAGATTTTCTTTCTTACTGCTAGGATCTCACATCTGTGATTGTTCTGCACAGTAAATACAAAGAAGACTAGAGACTGCTGGCCATTCTTGTGATCTCTGCTCCAGTGAAGCATCATGCTGGGATTAAAGATGGGCTGGGAGCCCAACTGTTGGAGCTGAGCACTCGCAGAGAGTGGGGAAGTTCAAATCTGAATTAAGATCGCACAGACATTCCCCTGCTCCCAAAGCTGAGCATCTCCTTCTCCAGGAGGATCCCTCGCTGGGGAGAGGGGTTCAGATCTAAACTGTGCATCACGAGCCCAGAGGTGGTCAGCATCCCTTCCACGTGCACAGACCCCAGACCAGCCTGGGGAGGTCGCATGGGGTTTCCCACAGCACTGCTGGAAAGCTGGAGAGAACCCAAGGAGCCAGCAGTGCCCGGCAGTCCCACTGACCACACTCCAGCATCTACCGCCCCTCCAGAGCAACCAGCCCCGCTGTGCTCCCCGCCTAGAGCAGGCTTCTCGCTCCTAACAGACAGCAACCCCCTGCCCTGAGCAAGGGCGTCCATCTCCTACCTTTGTGGAGAGCAGCCTGGTCAGGTAGATCTCGGGCAGGACTTTCTTCCTATGGCTCTGCCTGTGGGACTTCTTATGTTCAACTGACTCATCAGTTGGGAGAACCTGGTCCGATATAAAACACATGTTCAGAGCGCTCCTCTCTGGAAGTGTCACACTGGATTTTCCTTTAAGTATAGAATTTCAACTGCATATAAAATTCAATTAAAAAGCAGTTACTGTGTTATAAATATACCCTTATATGGCTTTAAAAAAGTGATCCATTCTACCCATTTTTCTGATGTTTGTTTCTCTTGTGCTTTTTATTGCCTTGCTCAAGCTAGACAAAGAAAATGAAACAATCAATCTCACTTTGCACGTTAGTCTGCTGGCCTTCCTGCTCCCAGGCCGCTGCAGTTTAGGCTCCCAGAAGCAACACAAAAGGCTTCTGCAGAAACCTGCTTTTCTTAGATTTGGGAAAAGTGCAAGAACCATCAGCCAGTATTCCCATCCTGGCCTTTTTGAAAACAAAACCAAATATTCCACTGGGTCAGGTCAGTTAATTACTGCTCTGTAATGACCTAGCAAGCCATTTAAGGCCATCTTGGCATTGTTTCACATGTGCACATTTGGTTTCCCACCTCTTCTCCCTCCTTGCTGTGGGTGCACATGTGTGTGCATGCACTGTGTATTTGTACTCCATCCCAGCACGGAAACTTCGGCAGAGAAAGAAAAAGCATCAGGCTATGAGGTATTGTTGCTTTCCATAATGCTTTTGTTCATAACAGCTTTTAGCCTTGTTCAGCACTTGGTCCTTCAGCGTGGAGCACAGCCTGGAACTCATAAATCTCCCAGCCGGGGGAAGCTGGCGCCGCGCCAGGAGCTGCCGGTAGGTGCCTTGACCACGGCTGCGTGGGGTGCTACCGGCAGCACCGTGCTGCAGAGCTCTCGGTGGCTGCTGACAGCTACAGCACAGGCACAGCACTGGTTGTGCCAACCCAGTGGTTTTTATTATGTCCTGCAGTACTGAAGCTCGTCTACAGATAACCTTTATGCACCTTTTTGAGTCCCTCTGAAGAAAACTAACAAGCCCTGGTCCAGCTGCTTCATCACATCTGACGTTCCAGCCCACAGAGATGAATTAAGTTAATATCAGTGAGGCTGAGAAGATTTTCTCCTCCTTCATCACATACACTGTAAAAACAGGACCCACAGACTCAAGTGCAGGAAAGATGAGGGACCAGCCTGGCTGGTCACCTCTTTGCTCCCAGCACTTCCCAGGCTGCCACCTTCCAGGGGGACATCTCCCCAACAGCCAACCTGGCAGCAGAGGACAACCTCTCTACTCACCAAGTGGAAGTATTTCTCCGTGTCCAGATCCTTCACTGTGAAGAAGAGAGAAACATAGCGGGTTAGCTGGGGACCTGAGCCAAAATACGCTTCCACAGATAGACAGCCTCTGCATCAGGAGGTGTTTCCCTATTCCCGAGAGCCCCAGCACTGAGCTGGCATTCCTACCCCAAGTGACCTCAGCGTTTTCATTTGGTTTGGGGTTGTTTATTGCCTGCTGGGGCATGCGGTGAGTACCTCGGGAATACTTCGAGGAGGACTTGTGGTCTCCCAAGGGGTGTTTTAAGAGGGACGCAGGAGGGCACAAGAGCAGGATGAGCACAGGGGCACCCCTGTATCATCCTGCCCCGCAGTGCCCTTCTGCACCCTGCAATGCCCCACAGCCCCATGTGCCCAGCATCAGGGCAGCTCCAGCCTGAGCAGTTCCTCACTGCTCCTCCCTGCAGTGAGGTCCCACTGCAGGGACAGGCTCTGTGCAGGCGGCCTGGAGACAAGTGTCGAAACTCCTTGTCCAATGTGGTGTTTTGTCTCCCTTGGCCCAGGCAAGGACCAGGGTCTCAGCATCCCTGGCCAGAGACACCCCTCCTCTAAAGATACAAGTGTTTCTGCCAGGTCACCAGCAATAGGGGAAGAGAAAGTGAGACATTACCTCTGCTCAGTGTAGTGTCCTTCTTGTCTGACAAACTCATAGCCAGTGATGCCCCTTCAGGGATCTGCAGAGGAAGGGAAGAGCAGATGCTGATGATGGGGCCTTAATGGTGCCTCCCAGGGAGCTGGGTACAGCCCCAGGGAGATTTTGAGAGCTGGGGGACACTGGTGCACTTCCTGCTCTGCCACAGACACCTTTGTGCCTGCCCTGACCCCTAAGATACATTTTTGGATGTCGACACCAAGAAATTCAAAGAGGAGGGAGTACGATGCTGTGCAGATGCTGTTTGCCTTTCCCCGGAAGGGCAGAAGGAACCTGGCTGCTGCCAGGACCCGTGGGCTGGTGCCACTGTCCAGTGCCACGGCTCTGGCTCTGGTGCAGGGTGGCACGATGCCAGCAGCGGGGCTCTGAGCATGGCTACCACCCTGATAACCATATTAATAAATACCCAGCTCGGGTTTGATTTTCCATGCACTGCTACAGACCAGGGATGATTATGCTCCCAGGCGTAACAGGGAATATGGAAATCATACCCAAATTTCTGGTTTCATTTAATTTCAAAAGGAAAAACAGTCAAGAAAACAATTTGCTTTGCCACATTTCCCCACGTTTTTGGCCTCTGCTCCTCAGTGCATCCCTGGCCCCTGTTCTCAGGGCACACAGTGACAATTATGCCAGTGACTTAAAAAAGATCAAGAGCAGAGTGATACTAATCAGCCAAGCTGGTGGCCACTGGGAATAGGAGCTTTTCTCCCTCCTCTTTCTGTTGTCAGTAATAACTTGTTTTGCATGAAGAGTGTTTAATTAGTTTCAGTGTGTTGCAATATTAACGAGCTTCTCGCCAGGGCAGATGTCTATTCCCTGGAAGCTCTCCTGAAGCTATGGCAACCTCCCTGCCTGTTCCTGATGATCCTATTTTGGGAGGGGGAACCGCAGCTTGTGCCCAAGGCCAGGCAGGCTCTGAGGAAGCAAAGCTTTCCAGCAGATTTACCTTGTAATGTGCTAATGTGTTGAGTTTCTTCCTGCCGTCCTCCACCACCGAGGTGTCATCAAGGTCCCGGAGGATGTAGCTGTCGGTGCTGGTGGCGAACCACTCTGAGCACAGAGAAGGGAGAAGTGAGACACCAGCCTGAAGGAAGTACATGCCTGTTTTTTGGGAGGAGCTGGCCTCTGGGTAGACAAACGACAGGTCTAAATCTATGGCCAGACAGGAGCCCATGGGCTCAGTTATGGCTGCTTATGGAGAGACATGTATTTAACATGCAATCTCCAGGCTCGGGGGTGCTTAGAGGGTACCTGTTCTGGAGTTAAATTGTAGGCTCTAAAGGCTGCAAGTCCAAGCATCCCTCTGCTCCACTTGGGCTTTCCTAACACTTCTTCCCAGTTGTGTGCCCTGTTATTTCTGCCCACCAGTATCTGGTCCCACCACACATTCCTGAAGAACATCCTGAGGAAAGGCTGCCCTGAGATCTGCTGTCCTAATTTAAATCATGACATCTGCCCTCTAGTCAGTGCTGCTACCGTGCAGTGTCAGGTGCTTTCCCTCCTTTAAAGGACTGTCTGGTCCAATGCATCTGTTTCTTACCCAGGTCAACATCTTCCACCCTTGGCCACTGGGAATAGGGGACGTTCTTGCAGAAGGCCTCCAGAATCTTCTCCTTCACTTGGCTGAGCGTGTCTGTGTCCATGGCCCTGACACTCAAGGAGTCCATGCCGCAGCCTTGGAAGGAGACGTTGAGGTTCTGCAGGCAGAGGCTGAGTTAGGGGTGACCTGCCTGGGTCTGTCGGCTCCCAAGGATGCCCACGCAGCTCCTGCTGTGCCCCACGCTGCTGGGAATCAGGCTGAACAAATGTCACCATCCAGGCTTCACCCTCCAGTGAGGCTGAGTTACAGCCCCGGGGCCTGCCGGCCCTGAGCCAGGACCCAGGGACTGACACTGACACCTCCCCTCACGCTGCCAGACTTCGCCCTGGGACAGTCCCAGCTCTCTGTCTCTGCTTGTGTCCTCTGCTTCCCTGAGAGAAACTCTGCACCTTCCTTGAGTGGTGAATGCAATCTCAAGGGCATCCTGCTGCCTGCCCGGGCAGCCGGGGACAGGAGCTGCAGCTACCAGGAGCACTGCTTGTGCTCAGGCAGAGGTGCCTTCCAGAAGGACCCTGGTACATGTGAGAGTTATCTGCAAACACTGCATCTCAGTATCGGCACAGTCAGCACTCCTGACTATGGACACTGTGAATGCACAGGTGAAGCCCAATTTTCTCCATGGCATTAAATGAAGATGTCATTTCACACTCTATACTGCACAGGTGTGTTTTGAATCAGAGGTTGCAGCAATGCGGGGACTGCCACCGCACGTCCCCTGCAGCGCTGCCCCTTCTCCACACACCCTGTTCCTACTGTTCTTGCTCTTTCTGCGAAGCGGGAAGCGGCTGCACTTCCCCTGCTCACACTCATGAAGTGACTTCTGCTGAGAGTGCAAACACCCTGTGCCTGCTGTCAACCCCCCCGCCACCACCCACCCTCCCCGCTTTGCTCTGTACATTTACAGGTCAATTCGTAACAGGAATCTGCAGAGGATGTGGAGCTCAAACATGCTCTGAGTTACGGTGATGCACATCTGGGGTAACCTCCTGACTGCAGCGAAGCTGCTCCAGATTTATGCCAGGTAATTGAAAGCAGGATTTGACGGAGGCTCTGGAAAGGTGCCTGCTGAATCCTGTGTCAGGCACTGGAGGGACCGGAACCCTTCACACACACAGCCCTCAGCTGCCCTGGTCCCGCAGGAGACATTCTGCAGAACCACTCTCAGCACCACTCCCGTGACCTGGGCAGAGCCCTTGCCCCGGGGCCCAGGTTTACAGCCAGCACTTCCCCACTGCTAGTGAAGATGCTCATTTGCCAGGATTGATAAATCTTTTGCTTTAACTCTCTGAATATGGCAGAACAAATTTTCTCACCTCCCTACACCCATAATCTAAGATACTTCAGTGGCCCACCAAGCGACAGACACAAAACCACAGTCATGAGCCTTGTTCTGCAGTCGCTAGCTTAGGCAGTGACAAGGCACCCGTACAGGGGTACGATTTACATGTCTATCACACCCGCACAGGTACCACACTGGCCTCTTGCACAACTGCACCCGTCAGAGCCAGGGTGTAGGAACTCACCCTTGGCTTTGCCTCGATGTTTTCCCTCAGAAGCCACTCCTCGTTCAGGGTGTACCTGGCCTTCCCTGTAATGGCGTCGATGGAGCCTTTGTTAATCTGCTGTTTGATTGCGCAGATCAGCAGGAAGAAGGGCTCGCCGACTGTCTCCTGGGGAAGGAGAGAAGACTGAGTGAGCAAATGGAGCTGGTGGTGGTGACTCCTTCCAGCAGCGTGGCGGGGACAGGCTGTGCACGGACACTGATGGTGCCTCTGCACACTGGGGATAGGACTGGTCCAGCCCAGGCGGTGGGAACCCATCGGCCCCTCAGCTCCCCACAGCATCTCTCTGAGTCTGCTTAGAAGTTTTCAGACTTGTGGCAATGTGACAGCACCGACGGGGAAGAGGAGACAACAGCCGACAACAGCCGCAGGGTGAACTGTGATTGTCACATCAACATGCCCCATCCAACTGCTGCGGCACGTCCTGCAGGGCAGCTGGTTGGCACCCGCTGCCTCATGGGCAGAGTGCTCAGTACAGCTCAGGAGGGGGCACAAGTATAGCTGTGTGGAGTGGGGATGTGCATGCATGGCACTCAGCAAACACAAATATACATTAATTTACACGTGAAATTACACAGGAACCTCAGGGAGAATCTGGCATACGCTGGTACAGAGATGTTTCTTGCAATCTGACAGGACACAGACTGCACAAGGTACTGCACTCAGCAGGACAAGGATGGGGCTGATGTGCACAAAATCCAGGCCTGCAGAGATACTTGGGTGCCCAGCTTTTTCATGGAGATACCAGCAGAAACCCTCTTTGCATTCCCTGGTCTGCCACTGAAATCCATGGAAGTGAGCCCAGTGCGTGTGCCTGTGGCCCTGGGAACTGGTGTTCATACTTCTCATACCACAGCAGAGCCCCGATCACAGCAAGGCAGAAAGGATCAGGGTCAACAAGCTGTTCCCATGCGACAGCAAGCAAACACACCATTTAACTCCTTACATTCATCAAACTTCATCTTACAGGAGAGAGGTGAATTGTGACACTGCTGCAAGGAAAACAAAAACAGAACAGGGACGAGCTATTTGCAATGAGGTTCAGATACATGGTTTAATGCCAGATTTCTGATCCACTTCTGTCTGCTATGCTGATGTGCAAGTAAAACATAAGGTACTTTCTTAAGAAACTTCTTGGTACTGGAGTAGATCCCATTCTCCCCAGTGTTCATGTGCAATTTCCTTCCAATGAGGCAAGTGCAAATTATTGCACATTTATGTACTTTCTGAGCATCACACACCCTGAACAAGCATTGCTGCCATCTGAAATCCTACTCAAGACAACAGATACCGAATGATTTTGGTATTTCTCAGCTAGGAGCTGCTAAATCCTGTTCAATCTGCTTCTTAATTAAGACAGTGATTCTTTTATTCTAATTGCCCTATAATTGCTAAAGCAATTAGTTGGATGTCAATTTGGATGCGGCTGCATTTGGCACAGTAAGCCCCTGGCAGTGCGGTAGGTGGGCACATACCATCTGTGCCAACGGGGCACCCGCTTCGTTTTCTGAGGGCAACTTCTTTTACAACCACAGGGAAGCTCCTTGGGGTTTAATGACTTCTTGCAATGCCCCTGAGCACACAGCATGAAATGGGTGCAGCCGCAGAGCTGCCAGTGCTGGAAACAGGAAGGCATGGCTTCCAGAGAGCACAGGAAGATGCGAAGTCGTGGGGGTGAGGAGGAGATAAGGAGTGGAGAAAGTGTCAGGAGACATACAGAAGAGTTAGTTTCTGACAGAAAGGCACAAGTTAACAAGCAAGGAGATGACACCGGCATCCCCAAGGGGATATCCCCAGGCTGCAATACCTGCCTTCCCATAGTGTGAACAGGGAGCCCTGCCAAGCTGACCCTACACAAGAAGTGCTGACAGATCCCAGTGATGACCCTGTTACCAACAGGAACGCTGTTTCTGTCGCATGTGTGCGAGCACGCAGCGGGGACGAACCCAAGACTGAACTCAGCGCCGGGTTTTGGAGCCTGCCCTATCCCAGCCGTGGGAAGTTCCAGCCCCGGCCGCAGCTCCGGCGCAGCTCAGGCCGCAGGGAGAAGTGAGGGGGCTGCCAACAGCTACGCGGCTGCCTCCAAAAACATTATCCTGCTGATACAGGAGCTCTTCATGGCTTGAAAGCAGCACAGGCTGCTCTGGTCGGGTAAAGCTGTGCGGGACAGGGCAGCCGGAGTGAGCAGGACCCACACACTGTGCAGGAGCAGGAGCAGCCCCGGCCTGGCCACGCGGGAGACGACAGCGCTCGCTGGAGAGATACTGTTTCTGCTTGGCTTTTTGGCTTTCAGGCTCGGGAACTGTGGGATGTTATGGAAACGTGCAACAGCGCTAATCAGACAGCAAATTTCAAAGAGGGGAAAGAAGGGCTGGCAGGCAGGGGCTACAGATAAAATGGCAAACTTGGAAACCTCCAGCATTGTTCGGAAAACTCATCTGGAAATGAATCAAAACTGTCTTTGGATTTGGCTGGTTGGGAGAAAGGAAGTTTAACTAGAAGAGATCAGTGCTGATTCAGGACAAAAAAATACTTTTAAAAAACACAGTCTGGGGCCTTTTTTCCTCCTATTGTGAATGTATTTTAATGAGACTTCATTTTCATTTTTGACTGAACTGTTATGGGCTCTTAAAGCTACCCAGGGCACTGAAATAACTTTGCAGTAATGGAAAGCACAGTTCAGGCTGGCATCACTTGAACTGTTTCACGCACATGAGTGTGGGAGGGCTTGGGTTTTATATGCTTGGGGGAAAAAAGAGTTTAGAGCACAGACTGGATTCACATGTTGCTGCCCTATTAACAAGGCTGACAAGTCATTAGAGATGTCCTCCCAGGAAGACATTACAGCCATTTCCAAAGTGTTTTGGTGAGGCTGGGGTGGGAAAAGCACAGAGAACAGCTGCTTATCCCAAGTGCTTGCTAATTTTGGGATTATTATCTATTTGCATTCTGTGAAGAACCAAGCCTCAGCTCCATCCCACACGTGAAACTTCGGGAAGCTTGGACCCAGACCTGAATTCCAGGACGTTAATTTTCCTTCAGTTCCCAGTCCCCCGATCCTGTTAGGAGCCAGGCACAGTGGTATCACACTATCTCATGGGGAAGGCTTTTTTTCCCAGCATTTTCCACCAAAGCTGTAGCAGCAAGTAGAGACATGGACAGTTTTATCTACAGTTCTCACCCACTTCTACAGAAACAGCGGTCTGCATCGGCTGTACGAAGGCTGCAAGTTTCCTCTGACTTCAGCCCTAAGCAGCCTCCTGCTAGTTCTTCATCACATCTCCTGGCAGCACTGAGCCAAAGCTCCCTGTCAGAGTGGTGACTCCATCGCCTTCAGGTGCCCTCCACATGTTCAGACCACGAGTGACTGTGGCCTGCAACTCCTTCCCAGCTGAAGACAGCTCCTTCAAATCATTCTCCCCAAAACACAAATGGACGGACTGTTAGGAAGAGCATTAATACGAAACAAATGTTTCGAGCATGTAGCGTTGACTTACAAGGGAAAATACAAGCACTTGGAATTTTTCCACTGCACAATGGCAGGGACCTTTGCAGCAGCTGTTTCAAATAGAAGTTGTGATTAATGGGGATAATTCAGGAATGAAAACCAGACCCACCGTCAAACGTCCGACAGGCCAGTGCTACAGGCAGGCGGGCAGCCTTTCTTTTTAACCAAGAAATGCCTCTCTGAAGGCAACAGAGTTTGATCCAGAGGAACACAAGGCACATGGGAGGCATTTGACTATAGCTAGTATTTAAATCACAGCCCTGAGCTGAAACCATCCAGTGTACAAGGAGGTGCCCAGGGAGGCCAGAGCTCCTCACCACCTCTGAACTGCACACCGTGCCCGTTGCTCCTCACCAGCACCGAGCTGCACAGTGTGCCCATTGCTCCTCACCACCTCTGAGCTGCGCAGCATGCCCAAGCCTCGGGCCTGCACAGTAGGAATCGACTTTTTCCTCTTTTTTTTTTGTCTTTCCTTTTCCTTGAGAAAGCTTTCTTGCACAATGTCCATTTTTAGCACACACTGGAGTTGGATCAGATGCCTCACATGTGGTCTCCACTCTCCAGAAGGAGAGATCAGCACTTTTTTTTCCTCCAATGGTTTAACTACAGGCAGAAAAACTGAAGATTAAAAAAAAAACCCTCACTAGTTCACTCTTTTCTGCTCTTACAGGCTGGGAAGTCATGCTGCATCGGCACAGCCATCCTCATTTGCTCCTGTAACTTTTCTTTCATTATTCTGGTTAATTATGTGAGCTAAAATGAAAGATTATGAACTACAAAACCACAGGCTTTAGGACAAAAAGTGATCATCAGCTGGGATCAGAAGACATTATGATATGTATAAGGACAATGCTTCTGTGGCTATAGCAAACACTTTGGGAAAAGAGATTTTTCAAAGGCTTTCTCAAGGCTCTTCCCTGTGGGTATAATGGGGTGTCCTCCAATTAACTGCCATGGAATCAATTAAGTTATTGCTCAATTCTTCTGGGAAATTCCAACCAGAACTGGCAAACATTGGAGATAAAGCACTGAGCAGATGGACTGCTGATGTGCTCCGAGATGACAAATATATTCCTTTCTGTTACTGTCGGAAGACAGTCAGGCTTCTGGGACAGACATCCCCCTTCTCTAGCTAAGACCCGCTGGCTAGTGTGGAACACTAGGACATCTCCTGCGTGAGAAGCCCCATATACCAACGGGCACTGGCATGGAGCAGCCCCAGCCCTGGCACCACCATCCCTCCTGACAATGCTGAATGGGCTGCCAGCCAGCAGTATGGCTGCGGGAGCTGGGCAGAGAAAACAACAAATAACTGGAACCGTTTCCAAAACCTCATCCCATTCTGGTTACTTTTCAACTCCCTACGGCTCTCTTCTCAAGCATGGCGAAAATGTTGCTTCGTGCTCTGGCCTTAGCAAAGGCCACCGCAAAGTCTGGTCTCACCAAATGCCCAGGCAGAAGGGGAGAAGCAACTGAACTTAAGGTTGCTTTTCAAAACTTGAGCCTTTCAATACACTGGAGTTTGTCAACCACTAATGACCATTCAAGTGGCAATGTTTGCCACTTGAGGTCTTTAGGTCCTCAGCTGCCCCACACAACCCTCGCTACCACTGCACACAGTGCTGAGCTTGCACCCACAGCAGCAGCGATCTGTATCTCTTACTCTGAGATAGCTGTACATGCAGATGGACATCCAGTTGGTGAGCATCTTCTCCACCACAGATTCCGTTCTTCTCAGCATCAGCTTGGGGTTTTTGGAAGCTGAAGCATCTATTAGATCCACCAAGAGGTCCTTCATGATGCTGGTATAATACTCCAGTTTCCCATGCAATGCAATAGTAAGGAGGGAGGCCAGGTTACATCTGAAACACAGAATTGTGTATACCTCAAGCACCAATCCAACAAGACTAAACTGCTGCCTGGCTTCAAAAAACCCCAAAACACAAAAGCAGTATTCCAGGCAATTTTCAAGTCAAAACTTCAGACCCTCTTTCAGTGCTGCAGGATCTTGGGTCACCTCCCACCCTCTTACTGGTAAACCAAGTGTCAGGGATACCTTCATGAGCGAGTTGCTCATTGTACCTCTTGGTGCATTTAAGGATAAGGGAGGTTTATAGCATTCTGCTTCTAATAGAAACATGGGAGGCAAGTGTAACTCAACCTTCAACTGAAGTGCACGCTCCAGCCATGGGCTGGATTGCTCATAGGTTAGGCACAAATCAGTCTCCTCCAGTTGCCAGGTCTTTTGTCGTGAAGATCCTACCTGTCTCTAACAGCAAAGTCCTTCTGTTGCTCGAGAGCATGGACAAACACGATGAGGAAGTGCTTGTTGTTGAGTAAGGTGGAGAACAGTGAGATTCCTTCTTCCATATTGGGTCTGCAGTTTTCAGGGATCTAAAGAAAAAATGAGAAAGCAGAGTGAGAAAAACCCTGGTTGTAGTTTTCCTCCAGCTTTTATCCATCCTGACTGCAAGGATGTCCCTGCTGAAGGCAGAGGTACATAGCTGAAGACCCCTTACTCCCTCTGCTTGGCACAAGCCAGCAGCTTGCTTTCCTGGAGAGGGCACAACTGTGTGTGACGCATGGCTGTATCAGAAGCAACTTGCCCAGGGGCTTTGCCAGTGGCAGTATCCATTCCTCTCTGCTCAGCGCTTGTGAGGCTACCTGGAGCACTGTGGCCAGTTTTGGGCTCCCTATTACAACATGGATGTTGGCAAAGTGGAGCAAGCGCAGCTGGGGCCTGCTAAAACAATTGGGTGTACAAGGAGAGGTGCAGAGGGCTGGGTTGGGTCAGCCTTAATGAGAAGTTCTAATGGGAGATCTTACTGCAGCCTTCAGCTGCCCCATGGGAGGGCAGAGAACACAAAGCCAGGCTCTTCTCTGCTGGCACAGTGCTAGGACAAGAGGGAAGGGACAGCAGATGGAGTATTGGACACACTGAATATAAGGAAGGAGGTTTTCACCTTTAAGGTGGTTGGACACTGGAACACCGCCCCAAGAGGCTGTGGGACTTCCATACTTGAAGATATTTGACACAGCTGGACAAGGCCCTCAGCAACGTCATCTACCTGGAGCTGCTTTAAGGAGATCTCCCTTCCAACCTAAGCAACTCTCTGACCCTTAAATTCCTACTTCTTGTCCACATGAAACCCAACAGCTTTCACCAAGTCCCTCCTTGGGAGGAATCTCATTTATGATGAACTGTGCACGGGACTGAGGTGACACACAGTACGATAAACCCAGGAAGAAAAGACCACAGTGGAGCTGGGGAGGATCTCAGGACAATGCTCCTTCATGAGAGAGCAGATCCACAGAGATGCCTTCTCCAAACAGCCAAAGCTGATCTGATGCTGGTATGATTGTTTTGAGTGATCAAGCATCCCCCATGCACCACCAGAAGACAAGCAGCATTGTCAACTCACGCGAGTACAGTTAGCAACCACTCAAAAGCATTTGTCTTGTTAGTGGGTTACTCACTTTCCATTCCCCCACCAGGAGTGGATGAGTTTCCTGGACCTGGGAGCCCACCTGGGAGCTGAGCTGCTGGGATGGCAGGATGTAGCACTCCTCGTAGAGTGAGGAACACTGCAACCAAGCACAGCATTAGGGGAGGGCGCTGCACCCGGCCGGGGACGTCCTCCCTTGCCGTGCACCGCAACGGAACGAAACAGAGACATGTCATCGGGAACGAAGACCACCCATTCTGCACTGGTATGGTTTACAAAGCCTTTAAACACTTCGCAAGAGCCTCTTGAATGAGCAAACACCACAAGAGTGGGGGGAGGCAGATGTCTGTACAGACACAAGGCTGTTAGGATAGGGAGACTGCAAATAGACTAATTTGACAGCTAGAAAAAACCCAGAAGAGAAAGCATTATAGAAGACTTAAGTCAAAATAGAGGAGTACTGGGTGTTTTAACATATGTAACTTTTGAAGCAGATGGGGAAAATGTTTAAATCTCTAACATTCATAGAGATTTAACATTCATAGCAGCCCGAGTCTTGAAGACTCCAGTGTGCAGATATGTAGAGATTGGATAACTGAAAAACCTGAGTAATAACTCCTAATGAAACACTCCGCAGTCATAAATCATCATCTCACTCCTCACCACTGAAATGCAACTGCCTCGGGGGTGAAATACAGCCGCTGTTAAGGGCGCACAGCGACGCAGCCGAGCAGCCTGTGACAGGAATTATGGCACCGGCGTGTCTGGTGCAGTCCCAGAAGAGGACTCTGGGCAGACAGACTGGGACTGGGTGCCCATGGGGTGTCTACTGGGAGCACCATGCACCCAGCCTTTGACAGAGAGGAGAGACAGGGAGACAGGGGCATTCAACGAGCCCCTGAGGACCAGCAAAGCAGCTGGGAATGCTCGGCGGCACGCTGCTGGGAACAAACAGCCCCCTCTCCTTGAATGCCGATGGCAGATACACCCTTCAGCCTCAACTGAATAGAGTGGGGTGACGCTGGAGCCCCGGGGGAGAAGGGGGAGTCCCTAGTCCCTTCTGCTCATGTTACAGAGGGTGTCCAACAGCATCCAGTGGGTGAGCCAAAGCCACTGCCAGGCTCCTACCATGTGTGAGCATCACACCCAGGAGCTGTGGCTCCACTTTTGATGTTAATTGAGGCTGAAATTCGTGACAACTAAATTTACAACAGTGGAATTATTTTGTTACATGGTAATAACCCTTTAGCAGAGGGGAAACAGAGCCCCAATATGGTTAGGAAGGACCTGGGAGTGATCAGGTGCCAGTGAAATGCGGTACTGCCTTACTTTGGGGAAGAATGTCCGGGTGACAAAGTGCTTGTACTCCAGGAACGGGATTCCCTGGCTGCGGTTTAACTCCTTGGTCAGGTCTGTCATGTCCGTCTGCAGCTCTGCAAAACCTTACACAAAGAGATCCGCAGATGGTGAGAGCTCAGGAAACGCCAACAGCTGAGGCAGCAGCAGGCTGGCACCGAGATACGTGGCACATCTCAGCTCTGCCTCCTCCAGCCTTGCCCTCGAGTGGGCTGCAGCAGGTTTTTTCAGCGAGCAGCGGATCAGTGTCAGGGTTTAACCATCAGAACTCCACAGCACGTCCTGCAGCGCTGACAGAGGGAACATCAACCCTGCCTGCAGGAGCGCAGCCCCCTTGCTGGTCCTGCAGGACCCCAGCCTGTGCTGCAGCCACATACCGTGGGGACAGAGGCAGATGCTGGGTGGCTTCTCCCACTGCTCTAGGAGGAGCGTACTGCAAATTCTGTTACACCCAACCATAAAGCACACCAATTAGTGTGGCCTTCAAGCAACCCTCTGACATGGCCAAGGGCCATTAACCCCAAGACAGGGGAACAAGTGGCTTCCCCAAGTCAGGCAGCACGACAGCAGCAGTGTCACACTTCCAGCCTCTGAGCCTCATTCACAAACCCTAATGAAGCTTAAAGGCAATGACAGAAATTCTCCTATAAATAATTCTATAAACTTATACTGAGTAGAAGGTGAATGGCTTCAAGCTGCTATTCCGACATCTCCCTCCCAGTTCTGGCTCCTCCTTGGCGCCCAGCATGGTGACTTACCTTTGCGGATTTCCTCCCGGATCTGTGACTCCATCTCCTCCATCTGGAGCAGGGTTTTCTGCCAGTAGCGCTCGGCTCTGCGGCTCTTTGTGCAAAACACAAAGAGAGCTGGAAAAGAGGAAGGGAGCAAGCTTGTTGGAGTAGGGCTTAGGAGCAGCTGCAGCTAGGATCAGAGCAGTCTGCTGCTGACATGGGTGCAGAAAGCTAAACCCAGTGTTGGTTTAACACCTACAAGACTGGCACCTGATCAGGCAGTGGTCAATTATCTGTAAATAAGTAAAACCAGCTGGAACTTAATGATTGTGCTGTAGCTGTCATCTTCAGTTTAGGTCTGGGCTGTCTGCATCCAGCTCAACTGTATATTAATGTATTCCAGCTGATTAATGAATACAGATTTTAAGATGTTTACCACCTGTATTACAGCGCTCATGTCTGACAGTCTTCCCGTGCCACCAGAAATACGTTTCTAATGACAGGTGGTGCATTTAATAAATAGTGTGCATTATAACCTTTATTAAAAAGAAATTAAATCCTATTAGAAACACCTCATTTGCTGTGAACTGGCAGGTTTCCTGCTGCACAGTCATTCTGGGCACGCGATGAGGAGCTGCCCTAGCCAGAGGACACAGGTGTGTTGCACAGCTCCCAGAGAGCTGGGCAAACTGTTGTGTCTGCTCCAGGTCTGCAGCTACAGATGCTAGCTCTGTTCTTCATGCTCTTTGCCAGGCGCCTGTCACTGGCTGTTAGTGATGACAGGACCTTGGGCTAGGTGGACCTTTGGGATGGTCTGGGACAGTCACGCCTGTGAGTGAGCCCTGCTCCTGTCAGTACGAGTCCAAGACCAGTTTCTCACACCCTTCTTTATGTTGTATTATCATAGCTACTACGTGTTTGGGAGAAAAGGGTAAGTTTATAAATATCACAGGCTCAAGTAACAGAGTTCAGCAGTGGATTCAGACACCAAGTGCTCCATGCAGCAGGAAGCTTTCATTCTGGGTACTGGATTGATGCATACAAAGAAGGGTGATACTTGCTGCACCCAGACCAGTTTCAGACGCTGCACAACTGCAGCGCTCAGAGGTTTCTCAACATGTGAGTGAGCCATCTTCACCCCTCCACATGCAAAGAGAAACAACCTCAGCACAGCCTAGAAACTCATTGTTCTGTTCTCTTACCTACAACAGAGAGGACCAGCAAGATGCTGCAGATGACAATGGAGACGATGATTGCAGTCTCTCCTCCCCCAAGGTGCAGCATTGCAATTGTGTAGTTGAACTTTCCAACTTGGATCTAGAGAGAGAGGGAGGGAGGGAGGAAAAGCAGGAGCTGAGCAGCATGTTGCCAAGCAGCTCAGAGGCTGAGCAAGGAGGGACCACGAGGCAGTGCTCAGCAGACCTTAGCCTACCCTAAGGCCACCACAGGGACCCATGTCACAGCCTCAGTGTACCCACCCCAGAGCACAAGACAACCCTTTCTTGGAGAGCTCACCGTACCATGTAGTGCTGCCTAGACTACTTTTACTAGAAAACCACTTCCACGAATCATCTGACTTTGTTATGCCTCTGAAAGGCTTTTGATCTCCTTCAAAACCAGAACTGCTGCCACTCAGAAGAATGGGGAAAAGAAACTTTCAGGTCTTTGAAATACAAGTAAGGAAAAGTTTGGTGTTTTTATTTTTGAAATAAAGTAAGGGAATAAAAATAAATTATAACAGGACCAGAGACGAGTAATGATCTTGTGGCTAAAGCAGTGGACTGGGTGTCAGGAAGTGCTGGCTCTGCTCCCAACCCAAACTTCTTGTGACACCAAGCACAAACCACTTGAGCTCAGTCCTTCGGTCTCCTGATCAGCAGAAGGGAGGTGGCCAAAACACACCACAGGCAGGCTGCTAGGTTTATTTGGTGCTGTTTATAAATGGCTCTTTAGGCCCCTGAGATGAAAGGGTGCAACAGCATCATCTGATAAGGAAAACTCATGACCACGCAAGTCTTTCGCTTCTGGAAACACAAGTTTCACTTCTCTCAAGGAATGAGAAGCAAGAAAAACTTGAGAAAAAAAAAAAAAAAAAAAAAAAAAAAAAAAAAAAAAAAAAAAAAAAAAAAAAAAAAAAAAAAAAAAAAAAAAAAAAAAAAAAAAAAAAAAAAAAAAAAAAAAAAAAAAAAAAAAAAAAAAAAAAAAAAAAAAAAAAAAAAAAAAAAAAAAAAAAAAAAAAAAAAAAAAAAAA